CTGTTCTCTCTATTTTAGACCCGTGCGTGTATACTGCTTTCCGCATTTCCACATTGAGACAGTGTGTCTAAATGCTGTACTTTGTGTTAAATGATATAACTGAGATCGGGACTTTCTGCTACTTTACCATTTTCTGCCCTTTCTCATCTTAAATCTTAACTACTACATGCTTTCCTTCCTAGTCTTGCAAGTGGTGTCTGCTCCACCCCCTCCCCATTTTGTTTTCCTGGCTGGGCTGAGTATATAGCTGTTCTCTGTATTTGGTCAGTGGTTCCCCATGCTTGTCTCTACCTTCAAGGGCTGATGTAACAGAATTCTTCAGTTATCCTCTCTTTAAGAGTTACTGGATCTCAGGCCATTATTTGTTCCGAAAGTATTGCCAGTTTTGAGTTCTTATGAAGCTTTCCAACAAGGATGTTTATTTTCTGCTATTTAAAATTTTATTTGGCTGAATTATGTACAATATTGATAAATGTTACATTAATGTGTACAAAATGTATGTTTGTGGAACTGAACGTAAGCAGAAGCAAGTGGCAGTAAGATGCTGTGGGAGAAAGGACAAGCAGATGGTGACAGAAACCACTCTTTCTGAATTTGTAGCTGCTGCTGAGTCCAGATGAAGAAGTAGTGTTCTTGATTTGGTTTCCAGTAGGATATGTAGCAGAATGAAAACTGTTTAATTTGCAGTTTCTTTCTAGTAATTTAACCGGCAGAATACACAAAATAGTATGTTGAGTCTTGGCTTCTCATTGTACCCCTTTGTGTGGTTTGCCTTCTTGTAATTAAGGTACTGTTATAGTAATTAGGTTTCCTCATTTTTCATGGAACTATGTTTCAGAGATGTTGTTGAAATATTAGCTAAATAGAACCAGAATTAAAGAAGTAAATCTTCATCACTTGACTTTCATTAATGTCTAAACTACACTTTGAGTCAAAGAAACATCAGGAAAGATCAACCACAGATAAACTATGAACATAGCAGTATGAGTCTGAAGAGCTTCTAGATAGGTTTCTTAACATGTGTTAAGTCTTAGGTCCAAATTATTCTGAAAGATCCGATCCTGTGGAAGAAGCAGTACACCTCTGCTACTGCCACGCTAGGTAACCCTCACAACAGAACTGTCAACAATACCCTCAGGTATGGTGTGGTGTTATGAGCAATGAGTGTTCCAGTGGTCACTTCACGGAATCACGGAATCATCTAGGTTGGAAAGGACCCCGGAGATCATTTAGTCCAACCTGTTGCCTAGCACAGTTCCCACCTATAGCATATCCTTAAGCTCTAAATTGACCCTACTCTTGAACATCTCCAGGGATGGGGACTTCATCACCTCCCTGGTTAGCCCATTCCAATGCCTAACAGCCCCTTCTGTAAAGAAATACTTACGGATATCCAGTCTAAACCTTCCTGGCACAACTTGAGGCCATTCCCTCTTGTTCTGTTGCTTATTACTTGGTTAAAGAGACTCATCCCCAGCTCTCTGCAACCTCCTTTCAGGTGGCTGTAGAGGGTGATGAGGTCTCCCCTCAGCCTCCTCTTCTCCAGACTAAACATCCCCAGTTCCCTCAGCCGCTCCCTGTACGACCTGTGCTCCAGACCCTTGACCAGCTTCGTTGCCCTTCTCTGGACACGCTCGAGTCATTCAATGTCCTTTTTGTAGTGAGGGGCCCAAAACTGAACACAGGAATTGAGGTGCAGCCTCACCAGTGCCGAGTACAGGGGTCAGATCCCTTCCCTGTCCCTGCTGGCCACGCTATTGCTGACACAAGCCAGGATGCCATTGGCCTTCTTGGCCCCCTGGGCACACTGCTGGCTCCTGTTCAGCCAGCTGTCAATCAACGCCTCCAGGTCCCTCTCTGACTGGCAGCTCTCCAGCCACTCCTCCCCAAGCCTGTAGCTCTGCTGGGGGTTGTTGTGGCCCAAGGGCAGCCCCCGGCATTTGGCCTTATGGAAACTCCTGCAGTTGGCCTCAGCCCATGGCTCCAGCCTGTCCAGGTCTCTCTGCAGAGCCTCCCTGCCCTCGAGCAGATCAACACTCTCACCCGACTTGGTGTCATCTGCAAACTGACTGAGGGTGCACTCGATCCCCTCGTCTAGATCATCAATAAAGATTTTAAACAAGAGTGGTCCCAAAACTGAGCCCTGGGGGACACCACTCGTGACCGGCCGCCAACTGGATTTAACTCTGTTTACCACAACTCTCTGGGCCCAGTCGTCCAGCCAGTTTTTTACTCAGCAAAGCATGTGATTGTCCAAACCTCGAGCATCCATTTTTTGCCAGGATAATGCTGTGTGAAACAGTGTCAAAAGCCTTGCTTAAAGTCAAGGTAAATTACATACACAGTCTTTCCCTCATCCAATAAGCAGGTCTTCCTGTTGTAGAAGGAGATCAGGTTTGTCAAGCAGGGCCTACCTTTCGTAAACCCATGCTAACTGGGCCTGATCATCTGGTTGTCCCTCATGTGTTGCATGATGGTGTTTAGGATGAGCTGCTCCATC